TGCTGTGGTAGAGAGGCAAACTCTAAACCCTTCAAAGGCAATTCAACTGCTGTCCATAGGTGACATGAAAAAATTTCAATCCACTGTTTACTTCGGTGATCAGATAATGTGAAAACAAAGTACCGTCTTCAGTTAAAGATTCACACTGATTTTTGTCTGAATATTGCAGTTGAGGAGAATCTGATTGTGTATATCCAACTGCTTAGCGCTGTTCCTGGCTTGTCTGAAACACATTTCCTTTCCTTGTCACAACTCCCAGGTGCTACTGCTGAGCAAATAGTAACATCACTGCCAGAAGTATTTGAAAAGAACAAAAAAAAATTGATTTGGACAATCTGTGTGCTCTTGTCATTGATGGAGACACTACTGTGAGTAGTGTTGGGGCTGAGGTCACAATAAGGTTAAAAGAAAAGTGCCCAGGAATTCTCTCCTGTCACATTTCACCCTGAATTGTTCCTGTTTCACAACAGATGCTACAGACAATGCACTGTGCTCCATTAAATAGAGGGAATCATTTAGCTACGTTTACAAGCTACACTGAAAATTCACTCCAGAATTACTGTACTTGAAAGGTTACATGGAAAGGGCTAGAATATTCCATCAGGCAGGCACTAGATGCTATATTTATACATGCCACGTAAAAAGCAAGGAACAAAAGCAAGAATGAACAGGGCCCCAGCTGTTTACAAGTGAGGGTGATGTTGCCCTCCTTATTCAAGAGAATAATGCGCCTCATCTGAAGCCAGTGAAGACTGTAGCTATCAGGTGAGAATCCTGGTAGCATGGTAAAGGTCATAATTTAGATAAACACATTCCCTTTAGCATTGCTTTTTTTTTACTCCTGTGCATGGCCCTGTACAAGCAAGAGGCTTGAAGTTAACCACGAGATGGGCTGGGAGGTTACTCTGCCTAGTTCTTATCTGCACCTATGCCTGTTCTCTCCTACTTACTTTGGGAGCCTGTAACCACCTTGAACACCCAACAGAGCAGCATGCAAGCATTTACACGATCAAAGGCAAAATGTGCTTAAGACAGACTTTGGAAATCCAGCACAATTTGGCAAACTTCAAAGATAGTTGCCTTTCAAACGGGTTGTGGAGGAGGCCTTGGTAAATTTGAATGGTATGATTAGCATACCGGCTGTTTTTAAAACTGCTCAAGAAGAAGCTGTGTTAAAATCCATTTCCGCAAGACACACGCATTTTCTTTTGGACAGGCTCCACTAGCTCTGTTTCTTAAATCAATTTTTCTGGCACGGATTTCTTCTTGGAAGAATGTACGACACCAGCTCAGTTTCCTAACCAAAACTTGACAGAATGTGTGCAGCACAGCATAATGGCATCTCTGCCTCATGGCTTCCTAAAAGTTACAGTACAGAAACCTCGGAAGTGAATTTGACTGTTCCAGGTCACATCTGCTGAAAAGCGAGCGAGACGACAGAAGATGCCAGGGTAGCCTGTCCAGCACAGTGTTCAAACACTGGTGAGGGCCACTGATAAAAGGTTTGCCAAAACAGGAGTTGCCAAGGTCTTTGAGGAGTTTCAGGGATGTTTTCAAGTCTTACTAGATTTAAAGGATGATCCTTGGCAAACTCCCCCTGATGCTTCTCAGCATTTCTAGAGCCAACAGTTGTTCCATCTGCCGCTGAGGCCGACTTTGAAGAATCCTTGCAAAGAGCAGCACACTAACTTTAACACTACACAAGAGAGGAAAAAAACACAGCTTTTCAGAAGTGACCTAGATGTTTGCCAGTAGCTTGACACACTCTCAGGTAAGGCTGTCTCCTTGTCTCCAAACACTTGAGTGTATTACCAAAGCTGCGCCAGTGTAAACTGCGGGCTGAAAATAGAGATTCGGTAAACAGCATTTACTGAAAGCTTGTCTAAGGCATTAAGTGTTCATCTGTGGAGGTCTGATGTACAGTAGCAGCGAGAAAGACCACCACAAACTAGCTTCAAGAACCAAATTGCTGCTGGGGATTAAAAAAAAAATAAATTAAAAAATGGCTGGGAAACTCAGACAGGTACTCCCTGACAACAGCTAGAAAAATTAAATTTAAAAGAAATCAGAAAACACAATAAACTTTTGGGGATGTTGAACACAAACAATCTCTGAAAAAGCAAAGGAAGGTCCACACAGACACAAACGAAGGTGTTTAGTTTTAACACATAAGCTTCAGTTTCTGCCATTGTGACAGATTTGCCAGCGCGTTTTCTGAGCCAGGCCACTGCACTATTGTATAAGCTTTATTCTAATTACTGTAGGCTCTATAAAGGTTTCTTTATCGTTTAGTATTATAAATAATTGTGCTTCCAGGCTGGGGTTCAAAGCTCAGAACAGCACTCGCACAACAGCACAGGCAGGTCAGGTGACCTTTCTCCAATTCTCCTCTCCCTGGTGCTGAGGACAGACAAAGTGATATGTCTGTCATACGCCATTACCATTAGAACAGAATCTTGTTCTTTTATTACAACTGAACTCCGCCGGATTTCTCAGCAGGAATGCTAAGTGAAATCAATGTCTTGGATTTCCAGGCTGAGCTTGGAGGTCACAGCCACTCTATCATTTCTCAGCATTATCCCTTCTCTTTCTCTCGCGCTCTCTCTGAGCCTCCAACTGGCACACAGCAGATTGAAAACAGCATGCATCACAGGGCTTACGCTGCACAATTTTACAGCCTTTTGGAGCCCCCTTCCTTTCCTTTTGGCCCACTTTTTTATTTTTTTTTTTTTTTCCCAATTTGCAAGTAAGTTTTGTTTGTCTCCTGCAGACCTGCAAGCCAAAGGCACTGCAACACCTACAAATATGAAAAAGCAATAAAACTAAGGGAGGATAGAGCTGATCTTGACAGCTGCCAGTTAAGATGGTTATACTCGATGATACCAATAGATATGGCAGGCCTTCTAATCCTGCAGTTGCCACAAAATACACACTGTGCCACTTAGATCTCATCAGACATTCTGCTTGTGCACAAGAGAACAACACCGGGATTTTAAGTGTAGGAGATCTTACAAGCCACTAACCACACACAAAAACCCCCCTGTGAAATGCACAAAAATCTCTTGTTAACCATAGGTATAACTTTTTTTTTTATATACCCCAAAAATTCTACCATCGAGCACTGCACAGCTTTATGATTCCTTACTCTAAGTGAAGAGATCAAGCCAAGGATAAACTTCAGGAAGTCAGAAAGTCTACACTAAGGAGAGAATAAAGACAGCATAGATGAGCTTGACTCATTAACACAACAGCTACTGATTTCAAGTCATGTCTTTTATTCCTTGAACATGTATCTCACTGAGCTGACAATGGTATTATTTATTTGTCTGGTTATTTTTAATCTGTGCTGTTTTACTGTTAGGGTAAAAACAAGACACTACTGTCAATTCAAGGAACCTTTCCTAATGTGATAAAGGACATGGACAGCATGCTAGAGGACACTAACAAAAAAAAAAGGACACATTTTTATGAAGCTCTTGTTGTCACCTAAATAGGACCGCTTTCTCCCAGCACTCCTCAGCTAAATTCTTCCTGGTTGTTTTGCAGCACCTAAGATGTGCCATTCAATGCTGATCTGTTAATTTTGCTCAGCTGTGGCACACACTGAGCTCACCTTCTTCGACTGCACCCATTCTGCGCCTTTTCCCTCAGTATAGCTAATCACACACTGAGGGCATTATACAGGTGTGACTCCCAGCTGTAAGCTTGATCTCTTAATTGAGTATGGACTGAACTGCTCAGCTATGACCAAGATTACTCATCAGAACCCATCACTCAGTGGACAGATTTCAGCTCTGCTCTGTGACAAAACAGACACTGCTTTGGAGACTTCACAGAATCACAGAATGTGCTGAGTTGGAAGGGACTCACAAGGATCATTGAGTCCAACTCTTAGCCCTGCACAGGACCATCCCTGAGAGTCAGACCATGTGCCTGAGAGTATCATCGAAATGCTTCTTGAGCTCTGTCAGCCTTGGTGCTGTGACCACTGCCCTGGGGAGCCTGTTCCAGCGCCCAACCCACTCTGTGGGTAGGTGAAGAACTTTTTTCTAATATCCAACCTAAACCTCCCCTGACACAACCTCAGGTCACTCCCTCAGGTCCTGTCACTGGTCACCACATAGAAGAGATCAGTGCCTGCACATCCTCTTCCTCTCATGAGGAACTTGTAACTGCAGTGAACTCTCCCCTCAGTCTCCTCCAGGCTGAACAGACCAACCAACCTCAGTCCCTATTCACACACTTCCCCTCAAGACCCTTCACCATCTTTGTTTACCTCCTTTGGACACTCTCTAAGAGCTTTATACCTTTCTTATATTGTGGCACCCAAAACTGCCACAATATTTAAGGTGAGGCCACCCCAGTGCAGAGCAGAGTGGGACAATCCCCTCCCTCAACCGGCTGGAAACACTTTGCCTGATGCCCCCAGGACATGGTTGGCCTCCTGGCTGCCAGGGCACTGCTGATTCATATTGAATTTGTCATCAACCAGGACCCCCAGGTCCCTTTCTGTGGCACTGATCTCCAGCATATCACTCCCCAGTCTGTACTCGTTCCTCCACAAACTCCAGCTCTACTCCAGGACAGAATCTGGCCACAGATGAGGTGCCCCAACACTCTTCATCTCTTGCTGACACACTGCTAACCAGACTCCACATTGCAAGAAAACAACAGTTGTGTGCTGGAACAGGAGGCTGAGCTGTCACCTGTTACTGAAGATGGAAGAAACAGAACTGTGATAGCCAGGACACGGCAAGGGAACCCACAGGATCTCAGCTGAGGTGGTCTGCTAATGACACTGTGTATGAATGGTCATTTGGTATTACTGCACTGGGGTCTTCCCACTGGAAAAATGGCACTACAAATACGCTCCCATTTCGGGGAGCCATCCTGAGAACAGAGCTGCTGCAACTGAGAGGCACACAGAGACCCTTCACAAAAAACCACATGCAAGTCCCCACATTGTCAGGAAGGCAGTGCTGCCAGGCCTGGTACAGTACCTTGCTTTTGGGTGGAGGGCTGTTTGTGCTCTTGTCTGTGTGGATGCTGGTAGGGGATACGGCAGCACCAAGGTTACCCTGGGGTATGCCAGGTATCTTGCCTCCTGGAGACACTTGCATTGCAGCAAGTTGGGCAGCATACAACTGCTGTAAAAACAAAACAAAACAAAAAAAATTGGGGTGAGGGGGGAAGAGAGGAGAGACATCATCAATAAATAATTAATCTTCTCAAAACTTCTACTGCAGAGGATATATTTTCCTTCTGATGGGCATTTTTTATTTAACACATGTATATTTCAAGACAAGAATTGTCATCTCAACTTCTGTGACTCATTCCTCAGGGGATGAATGAGAGACGTCACCATGAGAAATGTCCCAGCATCCTTGTGTGTCCAGGGATTCAAAACAAGGAACAAAAGCTAATCTTCATGGTTTGGCTGAGCTACTGGGCAATCTTTCCTTTCCTGAGATGATTTAGGCATAAAATCATTTCCACCAATACTACGCACCAACTCCTGTGAAATTCACATGATGGTCTCTGTTCATGTTTCTTTATTTTACTTGCTATGTTTGCCCTCTTTGCACAGGCTGTAAGGTGTTTGGAACAGGGAATGCCAAAATTTTTAGTACTTACTGTGGGAGTCCACTCTCAGTTGGGTTCTGGGGAACCACTAGAGTCAATATAAATACACACATACCGATGGTAAAGTACTGTCCATTAGCTATTAGGAACTCCAATTAAGTCTAAGAACCCTTCCTGTGATAGATGCAAAGCAGACACACAATGGAAATGTTTTTCTCTTCAAAACTAAACCAGTAAGGCACTTTAAACACATATTTCATTATTAACATGTGAATACTTATAATCACAGTCATCTGTTTAAAGTTTAGCACTACAGTAAGAGTTTATTGGACGAAGGTCAAAAGCAGTGAGAAAGCAGTGCCTGGGAGCTCCCCTGACCTCCAAATAAAACACGGAAAAAATAAACATGGGGGTAGGAGAAGCAGCAATTGTTGCTGCTTTGTGACCAGTGAGGAATTCCAAAGTCAGGTGCCCGAGAGAGCAGGCAGTGCAGTAACAAAGGCTCTCCCTCCTCAGCCACAGTATCAGTTTCAAAGACTCACACTATGTATGGTTAGTGCTGTGAAGTTCACGTGTGATGTGTAACACTGAATGAAGGTACTCTCTGCCTGCAGGTGCTAACAGAGCTTCTGAAATGACAGTGACAAGGGACAACATGCAGGAATATTGAACTGGATGTGAAAAAACAAGGGGGCTTCAATGTGACTAAGTCTAAGAAGTCTTTTTAGTAGTGCTTAGCTGTTTTGCTGTTTTATCTCAGTTAATTTTATATGCTGATAAAAGAACAGAGGTCGGATTGGAGGGCACAAAGAAATGCTAACCCAAACCAGCAAGTCTGAAAGAGGAAAATGAGGATTCATTACAGGAGAAATCCACACAGAGCCATGCAAAAGATGCAGAGACATTGCTACAGTGAGTTCAGTGTATATAATACAGCTCTGTAGCAAACACTTAACTTGATCAAATGGGCAAGACTTACTGCTGTGAATCTTGGATGACTCTGGACATTGTTTTGTGGTTCCCCATACAAACTCTTCCCTCCTCTGGTGTACATAATTCACATAATTAAAAGTAGCCCATTGCTACTTTTGTGTAATCAGACACCAAGTTCTTACTTATTTCTTTTTCACACTTTCTATAATTTTCACACTTTCTATTCTTTTCAGTTTTGAATATTTTTTATTTCTTTTCCCTACTTTGACCACTGCTTGTTCCTTATTTTTCTGTACTTCTTAATCACCATTTATCCATTCCATTCTGTTTAGTCTCCCTCTCTTTCCTTATCATCCATTCATTCATCCATTCTCTCCTTTCCTTTTCCTCAAATTTATTTATTAATTTATTCTATGTGTTACTCCCAGTGAGTCTGAGCCAAATAGATGCAAATCAGCTACAGATAAAAGTCATCAAAAACAATCCAGCCACAAATCACTCACAGATTCAAATGCATGTATTTATCAGTTGAAGTTCATATCCATTCATTCTTTTTAAAGAAGACTAAATCCAGCAGGGAGAATGGAACAAGTGTCTGTGTGAACCAGAGAAGAACTGCAGCAGGAAAACCAAGCCAACATTATGTATGAATTAATACATCAGAAGGGCAATGGTTGTTTAAGAAATAGGATACATGACTCAGGAACAACTCAAACAGAGCTGGACTCTGGAGGTGACAGAGCAAGTCTAGGCAAAGCTTTTCCTTTTCTTTTGCTCCCTACTGAAAAAATGACAAAACAGATTGAGGCAACTACAGGAAAAAGACAAAAGAAAGTCAAATAGCCATTAGAAAGGAAAGGTTCGAGATTGCTGCTAATCTATGTATTAGTTATCAGACAGTATGTCTAGTTCACATGTAAAGGTAAAAATAACATAGTTTGGACATTCAGCAGTCCTGAACCAACCGGAGAGCACTGACAGATCATACAGGGACTGGCTTTCTGAGGACTGAGCTTTCCAGAAATTTCTGTGAGAAATTCTGGGGAAGACTTTTCAAACTGAATCTATGCCTTGAAAAGCGAGGGAAACCTCTACTTCAAACATAACTCTCAACCTTCTGTTGAGGTCCAAAGACAGAATCAGGAGAACTAAACTATATGAAACAGATGCACAACACAGTGTCCAAGAATCTGCACATCTTACACCTTAGTGTTCCCCGAGAAATGTGTTGGAAGCCGTGGTTCCTCCCTACAGTACTGTCATCAACCATCTTTCTGACAGTGCATGCAAAGCAGACAATGACTAAATAAGCAGTGGGGACGAATTTCCCTATGCAACAGCCCAGGAGAAAGTCATATTTTCAGGTGATAAATGGAATATATGGAATGTCAAATGCATGCCATTTTCTCAGTTGAGGGACAGATATACCTGAAGAGAATGAAACACACAGTACAGTGTGGAGTAACATGGAAGGAGGGGTGGAAGAAAATCTATAAAGCCTTCATTCATGCTTTGTAAAAACTTCTGTCCTCCTGTTATCAGATTCAACACCGCAACCCTATTTAATTTATTTTGAGAATTAAAAACAAACATTAAATAAAATTTTATAAGAGGTCCCTTGTTAGAGTACCCTCTTGAAAGTCCCTTCCTGCAACAGAAACCAATAATTCTACAGAAAAAGCTCGGCTTTAAACTGAAAAACATGAGGTTATGAAATTGCAAGGGTCTGAATCCTATTTAATCAGTAAGTTTGCCCCTATATTCCCTGAATTTAAAAACTGGAGAGAAATATACAACATGCAGCACATTTCTTGGACTGTCAATAATTTTGAGCTTCAACATTATTGAACTTGTCTGTTCATATTTAGTTGTTTTAGGACACGATGACCTTTAGCTTATATCCAAGGAAAGGGCAATGGTGCGACCAAGTGCTGCAAAACAAGACAGCTAAATGACAACAATTTAAACATTCATTTCATAGACAAACTGAATTCAAACCAAAGAACATTTCTACCCCTGCTTCTCCACTAGAGTTTCAGATTTTGGAACAGTGTATGAATAGATCTCTGTTGAAACATTCAACCATTATCTGAAATGCACCTTTATACCCTTCACAGTAATGAAACCAAGACCTCAAAAAGGGCAATGAAAATGATGTTTTTCTGTATCACTGCTGTAATACCCTGTTCTTGAGCCTCTACTTTTACCCCAGAGACCCCTGAAACCATTTCTGCTACCTTTAGCTAACCTAAAGACTCAATGTCAAATTCTAGCAGTCCAGGAGGTCACTTTATTGCACTACAACTCATATAGGACTTTTAATCTATAGAGTTTACTGTGACCAAGGCATTCAGTTGGAATCAGTGAAGCACTACTGCTTTAGGCAGGTTCATTTTTGCTATACATAATAAATAAGGATAATATCCTGAATTTAATAAGATAGATAATACTTCTTCAGGAAGGCAGAATTGGGCTTCTGAAAAAGCAATTAAAAAGTAACATCTATTGTTTGTTTATAACTAAATGACTATGTTTCAGCTCCCCTGCCCATGTGTAATATTGCATGCCTTGTTAATGTTTTCTCATTAACCTCTTATGAAAATCTGTATGGAAGCAAAATCATCAGAACAAAAGCACAATGTGATACACTTTAAAATGAGCAGGAGGTATCGTTAATTTTTTAATGTTGCCCCTCTGTTCTTAAGCTATTAAACAAAAAATCCCCCTTCTCCCTAGGCCACCACCCAAACCATTTATAGTTCTTCCAATATATTAAGCAGAAATATTCAGCTGAACTCTCAAAATGGACTAGCTCTAAGAGCTCTTGGCTTGATGACTCTGTAGTACATCAATAGCAAAGCCTTAAGGTTAGGCCAGCTTTGAAAACTTTCCCCTTGGGCATTGTTGTTACATGTTAACAATGCTCATTAATGCTTGGAGGGTACAGTAAAAATGAATTCTTGTTCTATTAATACAGAAAATGAGAATGAGATTTAATAGCAATTTTAAAAAGGGTTGAACAAAGTGCTAGCAATTACATAGGCAGAGATAGTTGATTCAAGCATCTATAGGCATTTGAATTACAGTATTATCTCTTATTAAAATATTTTTATTAGTGAACAGTAGAGATTAAGAGCTGTTATTAAAAAAACCACAGAGAGATAGAGACAGGTGGCTCTGGAAACCGAGTCAGTTACTGCAATAAATTTGTTTCTGATATAAACTAGCTTTTCAGTGAAGATACCACAGCGATGAATTTACAAACCACTGTGCCTGAGTGCCTGAACTGTTGACTGATCCAACACTTCAATTTCTTTGTTATTCTGAGAACCATCATTAAAAATATACACATGAATGGCCCTGTTCTTTGTTTTTTGCATAATCTGGAGGGGAAAATGGTATAAAATGAGATTCTCTCACTCGGAATACATGAATTTATTTCTCTTTACCTTAAAATTTATGCTTATATAAGGCATGAGAAGTGTTTGACTGCAGAAAGAATTAAATTTGGATCTGTTCAGGTGTTTTTTTAATTGAAAAAAAAAAGGACATGAGGAATTAGGAAGAAAAAGGAATTCACTTTAAACAAGCATTTTACATATATCCTACTGTAAGATAGTTTTTAAAATAT